TCTGACAGCTGTCATCATCAAAGCAAACATTACAAAAACTACAACTCACCTGTATGAAAAAAGACAGTAGTAGTTGTTGTTTTCTATACGAAATCTGACAGCTGTCATCATCTGAACCAACATTACAGAAAATAACACTCACCTGTATGAAAAAAAAACACAATAAAAGTAGTTTATTTCTGACAGAAATCTGACAATTGTCATCTATATGAAAAAATACAGTTGTAGTAATATATTTCTGACCGAAATCTGACAGCTGTCATCATCAAAGCCAACATTACAAAAAATACCACTCATTTGTATGAAAAAAGACACTAAAAGTAGTATATTTGAAATCTGACAACTGTCGTCTTTCAAGCCAACATTACAAAAAATACCACTCACCTACATATATAAAAAAAAATCCAATCAGCTAACTACTTATACTTCCGGTTCACACTAGTTGTAAAGTAATGTATAACTAGTCATTTTAAATTTAGGCATATAACAGTCATATGCAGTCGCATGACAGCCACATCCACCATCCGCGAATGTCAGTGAAGCGCAAAGCACTCAGAACATGTGTAACTGCATTTTTATACACTCAAACGCTCAAACACACGCTCACAGGCTCGCATGCATTTATTTATATACAAATTTACGCAGAAGAATGTGCCCTACATGCATTTATAGAAAACAATAAATTACGAAATTATACAGAAAAAATAAATGAAAACAAGCGGTTGACAGCTACTCAACGCAAACATATGCGCATCTACACACATACATACATAGGTACAGCGGGAGAGTGCGCATTGTAAGCGCATATTTATAGCCATCTTCAATTTAAGAGGCTTTCACAAGCACATCTATATACTTGCATGCATGTGTGAGCGCGTGTGTGTATATGTGTTAAAGCGCTTTGGGATATTGGCGCAACTTATCATTCACTTCACGAATTTCTGTATTCACAGTGATTGATTGTCATGGCCGATATGCTCATTAAATTCGTTCAAACACGCTTGCATTTAGCTTATTAAAAAAGTGGACCCGTGGACATAAAAAATAATTGACAAAATTGTGCAGAACAAAAGCGATGTTATTGGAGAATTTAGTTGGCAATATGTTTTTAGTTTAATTASGTTAATATTTAGTATGCCGCTTTTCAATTTCAGGCTTAGTACTTTATTTTATGTAAAATGACAGTCCTTTTAATTTAATTCATAATGTAAATTTCAATTCAACTGATGTACGTACGAAAATTCGAAGTCCTTACCTCTTACGCAGAAACTGRGTTTTAACCGATTCAACAAATTTGTTATAGGCTGGACCCATGAGGATCGTATGATTTATTACTTAGGAGTTTTAGGTAGGACCCCTAAGCTCCCCAAATTGCATTCCTGATTGGGATCGAACTCTTAACCTCATCGAACTTAACCTACTTATTTCGTACATGTTTTAAATTTATTGATAGACTCAACACTTTGGCCACGATTTTACCATTTTTAYATTATTGCGCCTAAATGCAGGCAACATATTACTCCTACGTTGATAGAASTGTCCTTAATTACTGCGCCAGATATTTGTTAATGGTTAAAAATATCGGCGAATAAACGATCATTCAGGTTTATCAAAAACACAAGCATACRAGTGGTACAAACCCTACAAAGGCGATTGAGAGATCGTTGAAGRTATACCTCGTTCTGGACTACCTTCGACACATTCAACCTCATCAACTGATAAAAATATTAAATAATTAAAGAATATGGTGCTTAAAAACCAGGCAAGTGTTAGAGAGATGACAAAAGAGATGGTGGATATTTTGGGTCTTAAAGCTGAATTTTCTTCAAAAAAAAGTACCGTAAACAGGTCTCTTTAGACATCATTGATCTAGCGAATCCCGATCCAGCATTCATGGAGAGCGTTACAATTGCCGATGAGGCTTGAGTTTCAATCGATCGAAGAGATAAAACAAAATTCGTTGAAAGMGCTACAGGTTATTCCAAAGAGTGCTTATGAAAAGTGTTTTGAGAACTGGAAAATCGTTGACATAGCTGTGTTACGTCTGGTGGGGATTGCTTTGAAAGCGACGAAGTAAATATCGATGAATAATTAAATATTTTTCATTTTATTTACAATTTCCGGGTAACTTTTTGTCACAATGTATAAGCAATAAGCAAAAAAAGACATTCTACAGTTGTAGGTTTACCGTTAAAAATACATACAAAGAGCGCATCAAGCGTTTAATTGCCGCAGCCGACTACAAATGGAATAAATGAATCGAGTCAATAAAGTCGGAGAAGTTTTAAATGCACTTACGCACGATTGACATGAAATTATTTAAAAGATAGACGCTTGTATGTACGAACAAGCCACTATGTCKCGCCTRCAATCTGTCGGCAYGCAGTGAGCGCGCAGCAAAGCGACCTGTATTTGCACATTTAATGGCATTAACTGAAGCATAAACACGCCGAGGCACTCGAGAGTTTATCGCATATTYGTGCGCTATTGCRTCGCGGCTTTGCTTTTATGAGCRCTGTAGTAAGTTTACTAAAAAACCACGGATGTTGGTTGCATTGCCACCAACGGCGCAGTACATTGTCCTCGCGCACCGCAGCAAGTRGAGCGCTTTCGCTTCGCTCCGCTTGTGAGCATAGCGCGCTTTTATGCGAGCCACCAATTTATATAACCGACTTTTGCGCGCGWTTTCTGCTTATGAAATTGCCCGACAGGCAGCAGCGTTGCATTTATCTGKCCACAGCCGAACGCTAATGCTGGTGCGTCGGTGGTCGGGCTGGCATATGTGGTCTCACAAATATTAAAGATTGAAACCAAATTAAGAGCTGTTTAACCCATTGGAGTGTTGGCAGGGAATTCAAACATCAATGATGACTTCGAAATAAAATTTAGAACAAATAGTAAARATTATTAAAATTCGAASATTAYTTTTTCAAGCCCCCAATTGTCGACTAAGRTRTACATAGCCTTTTGATATTTTAACACAAAAAATATTATCCGATTTGTTAAACATTTGAATGAAATTAGGTGTACATCTTTGTACACCTTGTAACCAAGTATTAAAACTGTATGGAATCCGACCATAACATTTTAAGGCACTACGACACCTAATATGCGACCATTCACCGTCTTTATACCACAAATCTACTTCAATTCTTCTTCTTCTTAATTGGCGTAGACACCGTTTACGCGATTATAGCCGAGTTAACAACAGCGCGCCAG